AGGGGAAGGAAAAATGGAAGGAGTAGGGCAAAGGAAAGAAGGGAATGGAATTAATATGAGAATATGAAAAAATGGAAAGAAAGTCTTTGTAAATGGGAGGGATGGAGCGGTTGAAGTGAGAGCAGGGGAACTGGGAAAAAAATCATAACCAAGATAGATCATGTAAAGGTACAAATTTCCAATGATAAATGTCATTGTATTATATACCTAAAATGTACCAATAAAATTTATTTGAAAAAAAAGAATAAACAAATGATATTATAAAAAATTAAATTTAAAATTAGAATTAAAAAGGGTAAATAAGGACAAAAAGAGTATAGATACTGGGAAATAGAAATATGTACAATGTTTTATTTTATTTATTACTTTAATAATTTTTTTTTTTTTTTGGTACCAGGGATCGAATTCGGGTCCTTGCACTTGCAAGGCAGGCCACCGAACTGCTGAGCTAAATCCCCAGCCCTAAGAATTTAATTTTCAAAAAGTAAAATTGTTTTAAAATCAGTTATATTCTAAAATATAGGACAGGGGATTTGGCTCAGTGGTTCTGCTGCCTGCCTTGCAAGCACAAGGGCCCGAGTTCGATCCCCATTACCAATAAATAAATAAATAAAAATAAATAAATAAAATATGAACATATAAGAAAATTAATTTTATTTATTATTTTTTGAGACAGGGTCTCACTATGTAGTTGAGACTGACCTGGAACTCACAATATACTCTAGGCTGGTCTCGAACTCACAGCGATCCTTCTGCCTCAGCCTCCTGAGTGCTGGGATTACAGGCGTGCACCACCACACCTGGCTAAGAAAATTAATTTTAAAATCTATGCCATATAGAAATCATTAACAAAATCAGGAAATCTGACAACAGAAAACTACATGACATATTAATAGAAATTAAAGAAAACTAAATGTTGTAAATATGTTAACTCGAACTCACAGCGATCCTTCTGCCTCAGCCTCCTGAGTGCTGGGATTACAGGCGTGCACCACCACACCTGGCTAAGAAAATTAATTTTAAAATCTATGCCATATAGAAATCATTAACAAAATCAGGAAATCTGACAACAGAAAACTACATGACATATTAATAGAAATTAAAGAAAACTAAATGTTGTAAATATGTTAATTCTCACCAAATTCGTCTATAATTCAGTGCGATCCCAATCAAAATCACAAGTTTGTGTGGGAGTAATTTGGTGCATTTATTTTAAAATCTATATGGAAATGTAGAAGGCCAAGAACAACTAAATCATTAAAAAGAATAAAATGATTCATACCAATGACTCTCATGTTGCATTATAAAGCTACACTAATGATGGCGTGTCACAAGGCACTGGTGCAAGGATAGAGAGATGGACAGAATATAAAGTCCATAAGTAGACCCATAATATATAGCAAAATAATTTAACACAAAATAATTTGACACTATAGTATGATGGGGGGGAATATTTTTTTCAGGAAATTGTGCTGGGTAAAACACATAGCCACGTGGGGAAAATGAAAATTGGCCCTAACTTCAAACAATATACAAAAATAAATTCAGGGTTATAAATCTAAAAGTGAATGAGAAAATACATTTCCTTTGCCTGAGTCTCACCCAGCAAGGTGTCCCACGTTTTTCCTGTCCACGTTTTTGAGGCAGGGTCAGGTTGGCCTCAAATACGTGATCTTCCCTCATCAGCCTTCCAAGCGACAGCAAGCCCGGCTCCAGTCTACTTCTGACTTTTTTTTCCCCGTTGGTACTGGGGACCAAACTCGGGACTTGGCGTTTGCGTGGTGGAGGGCGGAGTCACTGAGTTAGACACCCACCCCACTCCCACCCCCGCTGCAGACTTCTGAATTAATGCATGTCTCCTACCAGCTGGGACTACAGCACGCATCACAATGCCAGGAATTTAAATCACAAAGCAGCATTTCAGCTAAACTCTACAGGCCTGAAAGAGAAGGGAAACTCTGGGCTCAGGGCATATCTAAGTGTCCTTGGCGAGACAATGGCCCAGGATTTCTCAACTAACCTCACACAGGAAAGGATTGTCTTGTTTCCACCAGAACTGTACCTGAGACCATCTGGAATCACACTTTGGCTGGGGCGAACGCAGGACCTTGTGCTTGTGAGGCAAGTGCAGCGTCACTGAGCTACATCCCTGTCCCTGCAACTTCTTGGATGTGGAGCCCAAAGAGACACAGCATGAACTAACTAAGTCTACCATTCCATCCACGTTAAGATTCACCATCACAGGCCAGAGATTTGGCTCAGTGATTCTGCCGCCTGCCTCGCGAGCGCAGGGTCCTGAGCTCAATCCCCGGTACAAAATGAAAAGCACGCCTATAGATAGCTCCCTAAAAGGCTATGTAAACTGAAAAAGAAAGATAGGGGGAGGAAAAAATAAAGTCACGAAGGAAAAGAGGAAGATCAATAGCCAAAAATTTAATATAGGCGCTTTTTTGGGGGTTTTTTTGTATCGAGGATCGAACTCGGATCCTTGGGTTTGAGAGGCAGGCCACTGAACCGCTGAGCTAAATCCCCGGCCCAATATAGTTGTTATAACCTAGTTAATGTTCTAAAAGGAAGCAATTAATTTTAAGAGGACTCCATATCTTATATAGATTCAATTACTCTGCACTAGAAGTGATCCAAGAAATAGATTTTTTTGTTGTCGTTTTTTTAATTGGAGACTGAGTTTTACTACGCAGTTCAGGCTGGCCTCAAACTCACAGGGATGCCAGGAGTGGTGGCACATGTCTATAGTCCCAGCACTTGGTAGGCTGAGACAGGAGAACCTGCCTCAAAACAAACTACAAACTGATCCTCCTGTCCCAGTCTCCCAAGTGCTGGGATTACAGGTGTTCACCATGACACGCAGCAGAAATATTTTTATATAGAGAGTAAATTAATCAACTTCAACTCAGACCAACTAAAACCAACTCCAATATTCCAAAGTGATAAAATCTGGGGCCACAAACTGCCCAAAAGTACATATTGCTTAGCTATAAATGATAACTTAAAACTACTCAGCCAAATCCTTATGTCCCAACCTGATACTTCAAAGAGAAATATGGACTAGAGTTTAGAATCATCTCCACCATAATGCAGAATTTTATATAATAATTACATA